ACTATCATTATCGTATACATCAAATGATTAAAATAGGAATAATTTTTTCTTTCATTGCTCAGCGATTCCTCCATGTACCACTAAATGTAAGCCCCCGTTCCACTAGTGATACACGAACCACAGTTTGTGAACCACTGCTTTAGACTATTAATAAAAAAGTCAATTTTTCCAACTTTTCATGGTTAAAAGTTGTTGGAAGAATGATCAAGATCCCATAATGCAATTCACAAGCACAAATAAATGGAAAAATAAAAACATGAATCACAAAATATGGAAAACTGCTAATTTATGGATATTTTTACAGTGTAGAATTACTAAAACTGAAACTAAAAACGAAAATAGAATTGTGTTAACAACACTATCTAAAACTGAACTAAATTTCACAAGTATTTAAAAATGGCATCAAAATAAAGCCTAATCCAAAAAAAAAAAAAAAAGCCATAATAATCTTAGGCATTTGTAGGTGCAAAGGCACATAATATTAGCTGTGTCCTTACCTTGTGTCAATGTGACGATATAGGCGTGATGTGATGTGATGGTGTGTCCTCCAAAGACCCTCTGCTTTTATAATCCCGGGACTCTGAGATTGCCCCCGCTCAAAGGGTGACCAGTGCTGATGAAATCATCCACGCTCAACCTTTATGCTTTACCTGACACTGAAACGATTGAATCAAAGGTCAGGAGTTATCACGTCTTTGTGCATAATTAGTGCATTTTTTTTAAGGATGCTTCAGTCACCAGATGATGTCATCAATTGGAATGACGACACTACTGAATATATCACACTTTTGCCATTTGGCTTTTCTGTGTGGAGTTTGCATGTTCACCCCGTGTTGACGTGGGTTCCCCCTAGTTCAAACACTTGAACTATATATAGGTGAGTTGAATAAAATTAAATTGGCTTTAGTGCATGAGTGTGTGTGAGTGAATGTGAGTGTGTATGGGTGTTTCCCAGTACTGGAAGGGCATCTGCTGCGTAATAAAAAGGCTGGAATAGTTAGGGTTCATTCCGCTGTGGTGACCTCTGAAATAGAGACTAAGCCGAAGGAAAATGAATGAATAATCAATGCATCTTTGCCTGTTGAATTCTGTATTGATTTGATGGAGATTTTAGGTGTGTTTACTTTCCTAGTTTAGTTAAGTTAGTATTTTAGCTTTTCCTATGGGATTTTTTAAACTGCTCTTGTACATAATGTTTTAATCCAGTACTTTTAAGTAAAGTGATACTGGCACTGCTTGGTTCTTGAGTTTTACTATTTGTCATTAGAATATAAGAATGATTAGATGCTGGGTTGCTCTGTCAAAGAAAATCTAAGCACATTAGTTTACAATGAAACTAGTTTCGATTAGTGTATCGCAATTACAACAATTATTTTGAATTTAGACCAGTCCTGTAAAAAATGCTGGAAAACACACAATCGATTTGTGTTGGGACAACATGAAGGGTTATTATGTTAGCTTATTCATTTTTTCCAAATGTAGGTGGATTGAAAACAACAATTAAGTTGTCAGAAACAAAAACAAGATCTGTGGATTTTCACCTCACTTTAAATAAGCAATTTGAACAAACAGCAACATAAATTGTGCATAAACAGAAGAATTGTAGCAGTTCAAATGCAATTTAATTGTACAAAATTTGACTGTGCTTTGTGAAAAGTGATTTATGAGCATTATATATATATATATATATATATATATATATATATATATATATATATATAATATTTATATTTATGACACCATTTCTTGTCGCGCTTACCTGCTGACTGCTTACCTCCGTATGGACGGCTATCCCGCTGTTACTAGTTTGTCCAGTTAGCTCGCCATGTACGTTAATGGACTTGAGATGCAGAGATGACGGGAAAATCTGTAAAAATCAGGCAAGGGCTTTTCTTTTTCTGGATTCTTTTTTAAAACTGTCGGTTGGGTTTAGGGAAGTGGGTGGCTGGGTCCATTGGTGCATTTGAAAACACTATTGGTTGGGTTTTTGAAAAGAGGAGGGTGGGTCAGTCGATTGGTTGGTCAGTCAGTCAGTTGGTCGACAGCGGCCTCTGGTGGATTTACAAGAGAACAGCAGGCATGAATGGCACTTGCAAGAGAGATTTGAGATCTATAAAAGCATAGACAGCGGCCTCTGCTGGATTCACGAAAATAAAAACTGCAAAAAAACAGCTCCTGGGATGTATTTAGCACTCTCCAGAAATGTATGTAGAGGTACATTTTCAGAATGAGCCTGGGTTGAATAAACTCTCTCTCTCTCTCTCTCTCTCTAACCATTTTATGTGTCTGTAGCACAATCGGGGCTGGAATGGTGCCAGTGTTTTTGTATTGGATGAAGTGGTTTGATGTAATGAATGAATGAATTAAATTTTCAAGGACTTCAGAGAGGAGAAGCTCATCTTTAGAATGTTTCATTAACCAGAAAATATTGCACTTGTTGATTAGCGCAGAAACAAATGCTGGGTTCTGCTAACCCAATGTTTTATCAAATATGGACAAATCCAATGTTAAGTTATTTCTTTGTTTAAATATTTTTCAATTAAATTTAAATTAAACTTTTTAACCCAATGGTTGGGTTTGTCCATATTGGTTTAAGCTTTGAGTTTGAACAACATTTAAAAGTATAATGCAAATTGCAGACCATGTCATTTTCTTAAACAGATATCAATTGTTTATAGAGTTTTATCTTCCGAAGGTTGTTAATCTACAGTCTAAATCCACTGAACACACTGTACTTTTATCCTTTACTCATTTCCATTCTTGTCAAAATGTAAATACGACATCCTGACTAAAGTCCATGTTGTTGTTATAACTTAAGAGCCAATTGGCTGATCTCAGGCTAGCATACATGCTGCTTGATAAATGGGATGTTTTTTATATCAAATCATTGCAATACATCATAAACACACTGGTTTTACTGAAAATATTTTTACTGTTTGCATGTTTTCATGCCATTTTGTTATTTTGCTGCAGCTATTTACCTAACCATACAATGTAAAATCCAACAGTCATCTTGATCAAATGAAATGAGAGTAGTTAACTCAAAATTGACTAAAAAATTTTCGACTAATTTGAAAAGAGTTTTGAACTCAGTGTTGAAGCTAATGAGTTAATTAAATAGTTCATTACTTCAGCTTAAATGGCGTAAGTTCACAGTATTCATATAGATTCGTTTTTTAACTCAAATGGTTTGAGTTACCTTAACTTATTGGGTTTTACAGTACTCAGTTTTACTGTGGTCAAATTGTTAGTTTACTTGAATTAATAAAGTTCACAGTACTCATTAGGATTAGTTTTTGAACTTAAATGGTTTGTTGCAATCAGTTTCCTCAAATGGTTTGAGTAACATTAACCTATTGGGTTTTACAGTGTAATAATTTGTATTTTTCTTACATGAAAACACACATTTACAATAAATTCTATTCACCCTAAATTTTGTTGTGCTGTTTTTTAGTATATTATTTGGTCCCACTTTATTTTAATGTACAGTTCATGTCACTAACAAGCCATTACCTAGGACTTTTAGCTCAATAAACTACAAACTAGCTGCATATTAATAGTTATTACAGTAGTAGATAGGTCTAAAATAAGATCAGCACTTTTAGTAGTATAGATTATCATAAAACTGACGTACATTAAATATTAAGTATTTAGCATTTATAAAACTCTCTTTTTTACGTAGTGAATGGCAAAAAGGGGGTAGTTGTCTAAAAATCTAAAAACCTTTCATTTTCGTTTATTAATACTAGTCATTTCCCCCATAAATAAATGATTAGTAAATCCTTAAACAATTGCAGAAAGCAGCTTAGCATGTGAACATTAAAAAAAAAAAAAAAAACGTACACGTTGTACTTTTAATATCAATTCCCATATAACTACAACATTGTGTTTAGTATTTCTAAAACTCTTTGTCATTACTCAACATTTCTTCATTTATAAGCTTATACTGTATACACAACCTGACAAAATTATTGTCGATTCCAGTTGTAAGAGCAACATAATAACTTGACTTCTAGTTGATCATTTGGTAAAGTGGCAGAAAGTAGATTTTTCTGACAAATCATTTGTTGAACTGCATCCCAATCATCACACATACTGCAGAATACGTATTGGAACCAACATGGACCCAAGATTCTCACAGAAACCAATGAAGTTTGGTGAAGGAAAAATCATGGTTTGGGGTAACATTCAGTATGGGGGTGTGTGGGAGATCTGCAGAGTGGATGGCAACATCAACAGCCTGAGATATCAAGACATTTGTGCTGCCCGTTACATTACAAACCACAGGAGAAGGCAAATTCTTCAGCAGGATAGCGCTCCTTCTCATACTTCAGCCTCCACATCAAAGATCCTGAAAGCAAAGAAGGTCAGGGTGCTCCAGGATTGACCAGCCCTGTCACCAGACATGAACATTATTGAGCATGTCTGGGGCAAGATGGAGGAGGCATTGAAGGTGAATCCAAAGAATGTTGATGAACTCTGGGAGTCCTGCAAGAACGCTTTCTTTGCCATTCCAGATGACTTTATTAATTAGTTATTTGAGTCTTGCAGAGATGTATGGATTCAGTCCTCCAAGCTCATGGGAGTCATACACAATATTCATTCTTTTTCCACTGCAGCATCACTTTATATTCTATAATGTACATTATTTCTGTTACGTGACAAGACTTTTGTCTAAGCAAAGTCAGATCTTACTGTCATAATGAAGTCATTAAAAATCAAGGCATGATCATATATTATTTTGGTGAAATAAGCGTAATCTAGAGTCCTTTGCCTTTCATATAAGCCACTTTTAAAATGAACTGATCAACTAGAAGTCAAGTTATCATTTGTTGTTCCTAAAACTTTGAGAGTGGACAAGACTTTTGTCAGGCAGTGTATTTTTATATAAATAAATATAAAATATATTTGCAAAGTGAATGGTAATGAGGTAGTTGCCAGAAATATATATCCTTTTTGTAACAGAGCGTAATACATTTTTAAAAAGCATTGCAAAGTTATCACTTTTTAATCATTTTTTTATTTAAACAAAACCATCAGCATACAAATAAAAATACTGTGACAAAATGCAAGAGAACTGTGTATTGGAGATTCCTGTGGGTTTACTGAGGTGGCAGCATGGCTTTGGCCTGGTCAGCAACAAATTTGATCATGTCCTCAACGTGGGTCTGGACCATACCGGCCAGCGGCGCAACCTGAGACTGGACGGAGGCAGCCAGAGGCTTGATCTGCTCTTCAATGTTGCCGGAGAAGGGCTTCAGCTGCTCCTGGAGCTTCTCAACCATGGGCTGAAACTGAGCTCTGCTCTGCTCCAGGTAAGCACTGTGCCATGAACAAACAAAAACAAGAGAATTAATGAATCAAATCAATTGAAATGAATCATAACTATGTCGATCATTTAGTTTCAAAGTTGAGATGATGGACTTACTTGGCCTTGTTGGCCAGCTCAGCACCCTCAACGTTCTTCAGATTGTCCACTAAATCCTGGAAGTACTTGGCGATCTTGTCCAGCTCAGCAGGAGCGTCTCTCTTGACCAGAGATGCTGACTCAGAGCCTGAACATGAACAGAAATGTTTGATCAATACAGTACATCAAGCCAAATCAGGTGAGAGACTCTCTGGCTTTTACTGGACTTTACACAGGCAACTTTGTTATGTTAAGTACTTTACAGAGTATAGATAAAATACTCCCTCTAAAAAGTGATTAGTTACTTAAAGCGAATAAACCAACTGCCTTAAAACAAATTGACTTTTCAAAAGTAAACCCATTGTAACTTGGAACTGTTAAGTTGACTTCATTTTAATAATTATGCTAATTATCCTTACTTTTTAAAAGTATTTTACTGTGTTATTTTGCTAATACAGAAAAGTTGGGGGAAAACAAATATAATAAAGGTGTATTGAAAAAAAGTATTAGTTTACTTTTATTTTAAAAAGTGAGTACAGTTGGCAGAGTTATAAAAATTAAGTCAACCTAACAGTTCCAAGTTACAATGAGTTTACTTTAATTTTGTAAAGTCAACTTGTTGCTTTTAAGGCAGTTGGTTTACTTGTTTTAAGTAACTAATCTTTTACAGTGTAGTGTAAATTATAATTCTTATGTAGTGTATTTATTATTTGCTGCGTGTTCAAAATACTTCTAAAACGAGCTAAACAACACAATTCTTGAGATTTATTTGGGACAGCTTAATTGTTTTCTGTTTAACCAATTTAAATTTGTTAAGTTAACTTAATCATTTTGTGTTGGGATAAAATGTATGAATTGTGTGGAACCCTGCAATTTTCTACATTGTACACTAAAAATACACACAATGGATTTGTGTTGAGACAACATCAGGGTGTCTGCGGGGTCTTAAAAAGTATAAACAGTTGATGAATCCATTGTGAGAAAATTAAGGCCCTTAAAAGTTATTAAAAAGTCTTAATTGCATGTTTACAAGGTCTAAAATTTTGTATAAGCGTTGTCTAAAGTGTTGGACTCCAAAAAGGCATAAGTATAATTATTTTCACGAAACGAAAGCTAAACAGAAAGCAAAATGAGAAAATTTAAGTTTGCGTACTCCTGGTTGGAAAAAGACTAGCTTAAACAGTGGCTGAAGCCTGTCACTGAAAACAACAACGTTATTTATTATTTTAAAGCTTTGTTTCTGCCGAACTTATCAGAGAACTGTTGCATGGTTGTGCTCCATTGATGTATTTAACAACTACTGTTTATTAACTTGAAGGTTTGTTACTGATTAGAACGTGAAGTGGCGATGAGGTTAAAATATTCTGAGAAGGTCTTTAAAAAGTCTTAAAAGGGTATTAAAATTACCTTTAGGATTCCTGCATATACCCTGAACATGAAGGAGTTAAGTTCACTTATTAGTGTTTACAATTTTAAGTGAATTGAACCTAAAACAATTAAGTTATCCCCCACAAAACCTGCAGAATTGTGTTGTTTCAGCTCATTTAAAATAAGTAGTTTACATAAGCCATTTTTGAGTGTGTGCTAATCTCTAGTTTATATCTGAAGAGTTCAGATGCAAATCCTCTAAGTCCTCTATTTTAAAATTTCTTCTAAAATTAGCAATTTTCTCAGTTTATGTTTAGTTTATTTACTTTTAAATGCAGTGAAAATAACATATTCTTTGTTATATTGGTAAAATTGCTAAACCTACATGCAAGAGCCTGAGAAAAATACTCATTTTAGAAGAAGCTTTCACTTAGAAATTCTCTTTAACCCACAAATTGCATCATTTAGAGCAGTGTTTCTCAACCACGTTCCTGGAGGACCACCAGCACTGCACATTTTTCATGTCTCCTTAACCAAACACACCTAATTCAGGTCATCAGCTCATTAGCAGAGCCCAAAGGACCTGTAATGAGTGTGACAGATAAAAGCGACATCTAAAACATTCGCAGTGTTGGTGATCCTCCAGGAACGTGGTTGAGAAACACTGATCTAGACAGACAAAACCATAAAAAACAAAATACCCACTATGCTTCTCTCTAGTTTACATTTCTTTAACCCACAATGTACATCATCTAGAGAGACAAAATGTGGTTTAAAGACTCACCGATGGCCAGAGCAACAACAATGACGGCGATGAGGGAGAATTTCATGATTGCGGGTTGAGCAAGAGTTGCCTGAAAACACAAAAACAATCATTTCTATCAGTTTCTGGTCAAAATTTCCTCTTGTAAGCCTCTATTTTCAATTAGAATCAATAGCAGAGCTTAACATGACCATAAAGGTTTAACATAGCTGTAATCTTACCTTGCGTCCAGAGATTGTTAGACCTGATGGTGCTTTTTCCAAAGAGTCCTGAGTTTTTATAGTCCCAGCAGAAGTTCAAAGGGTGATCTGGCCTGATGAAATCATCTACACACACTGAACCTCTATAGGCTGACGCTGAAGTGATTCAATCAAAGTTCAGCAGTAATCTCTTTTAGTCTTTGAGCTCAAACGATGCATTGGGCTGTTACAATAAACCTTATGACATCAGTTTTATATGAGGATACTTATTCAGCATCAAATAAATCAAATAATAATAATCCAAAGCATTGTTTTCATGGGGAATCATTTGTTTTATTCTGTAAATGAGGTAAGTATGTATGTGTAGTGTGTGTACTTGTGTAATCTTGATGGTTTCAGCATGTATTAGGATTTACTGTTAAGTGTTGGTATGATTTATATATTTTTATACTTATTTACTGTGCTGCAGCGTCAAATAAATAAAATAATAATAATACAACCCATGTTTCATGAGGAATCTTTTATTTTAGACTATATTCAGTAAGTTTTTATGTGTATAGTGAATACTTATCAAATATTGACAGTTTCAGCATGTATTAGTATTTACCACCATGTATTGGTATGATTTATATATTTTTATTCTTATTTACTGTGCTAAAGCATCTAATGATGAAGGTGAATTTTGTGTGTTAATACAATAGGATTAAATTAATAATAACAATAATAATAATAATAATAATAATAATATTAATATTACAAACCATTGTTTTCATAGGGAATCATTTAATTTATACTGTAAATTTAGAAAGTATGTATGTGTACAGGGCGTACTTATCTAAACTTGATGGTTAAAGCATGTTAGGATTTACTGTTGAGTTTTGGTATGATCTATTTTATACTTACTGTGCTGCAGCATCTAGTAACGAAGGTGAAATTAGTGTATTAATACAATGAGAGTTGAACAAATAAGTAATATTTATATAATTATATTTATTATTATAAATATAAGGGTGGCGCAGTAGGTAGTGCTGTCACCTCTCAGCAAGAAGGTGGCTGGTTTGAGCCTCGGCTGGGTCAGTTGGCATGGAGTTTGCATGTTCTCCCTGCGTTCGCGTAAGTTTCCTCCGGGTGCTCCGGTGTTCCCCGCAGTCCAAAGCAGCGGGCATCCACTGCGTAAAAACGTGCTGAATAAGTTGGCTGTTCATCCCCCTGTGTCGACCCCAGATTAATAAAGGGACTAAGCAAAAAGAAAATGAATGAATGAATGAATTATAAATATAAATTAAAATAATTTATATAATATTTAATATAAGATTTATTTGATTTATCAGGATTTTTGGGGGGGTTGGGATTTAGTTAGAGAAAACTAAGTTATGTAATTAATTTATAGAAAATGACATGAAATTATATGAATTTATATATATATTTGATTAAACTACATTTATTTTTTTAATTAAATTTTACATCTTACAATACAGTACTGAATTGAGCAAAAAAAAATTGAAAATACTACAAATGTAAGGACATTAAAAATATTTAATTTGATATTTCCTTTATATGTTTTTGATTGGCATAGTCTCTTATTTATCAGGGGTCGCCACAGCGGAAAGAACCGCCAACTATTCCAGCACAAATTATAACAATATTGGCTCATTCTGAAAACGTAGCCCTATATACGTTTCTAGAGATCGCAAATTATGTAGCCAAAAGTACATATGGCTGCATTTCGTCTTTAAAACGAACGCTACTTGGTGGTATGATGCCGTGCCTTTTTGCACTTACCAGCTGACCGCTTATCTCCGTGTGGACGGCTTTTCCGCTGTTACCAGTTTGTCTAGTTAGCTCACCATGTATGACTTCAGACACAGAGAGGAGATGACCACGACGATGGGGTTCGAGTCTGGTGAAGAACGGTTCCAAAAAGCAGATAAGAAAAACAGAAGCCAAAAAATAAAATAAACAAGTAAATAAATGGGTGAGAATGTGGTAATGTGATAAAAATCAGGCGAGGGCTTTTCTTCTGATTTGCTTTTTAAATTTTTCAGTTGGGTTTAGGAAAGTGGGTGGGCGTTGGTCAATCTGTGCTTTTTAAAATACTATTAGTTGGGTTTAGGGAAGGGGGAAGGTGAATCAGTCGATCGGTCAGTCATTCAGTCAGTCAAACAGTCAGTCGACAGCGGCTTCAGGTGGATTTAGGAGAGAACAGCAGGCACGAATGGCGAGAGAAATCTGAGATCTCAAAAGGCGTACACAGCGGCCTCTGGTAGATTTGCGACAACAAAAACTGCGGAAAAAACATAGCTCCTGGGATGTATTTGGCGCTCTCCAGAAATGTATGTAAAGGTACTTTTTCAGAATGAGCCTGTGTTGTGTTTTACGCAGCGGATGCCCTTCCAGCCATAACACATTGCTGGGAAATAAAATGTAGAGAAAATCACCTATTATTCAGATATGTGTTTTACACGTTTATAATTTTGTTTGTCGCTATATTATCTGGATCTTTAAACATAAAGATATATCTTTCATTTAAATCAGGGTGTCTGCGGGGTCTTAAAACTTAATAAAAGTTGATAAATCAATGTAAAGAAATTTAAGGCCCTAAAAAGGTCAATTTTATATCTTTTTGATTACACAGTGTATGGTTGTATGCTAAAGTTTGCCTGAATTAAATGTGCGAATATAAGGATATTTATGAAAATGAGTAGTTTATGAAATTAATGAAAACCTGCTAAATTAGCTACATTTCATAGATTTTTATTCAGTATATTAAAAATGTTTTAGTTTTGGATTAATTTCTTACATTAATATTTAATAAACATTCTGTAAGTTATCTCACCACTGAAAAATGGTTATGGGTCTTAAAATGTATAGAAAGTTTTTTTAAAAAGGTCTTAAAGGTATTGAATTTCACTCTCTGATTCCTGTTTATCTGTAAATGAGAAATCCTTTTAAGGGGAATAATTATGTTTTGGCATGTAAATGGAGTCTGGCCAAACGAAATAAATAATAAAGATATCTGTAGCCTATTTGTTTGACAATATAGGTTTATGAATGAAGAAATATAATGACAATCAAAAAGCATAATTGTCTTTCTTTCTTTTCTTATTTTTAACCCAAAACCCTTGTTTTTTGACCTGCTGAAGTCCTTTTCTCTCATATATGCTTTAGTTTGCACGTCAGCTCTGACCAGCTCAGCTTTTCTATCACAAACTGATTGGCTTTATCTGTGGATCGAGGAACATCTATACAGTCAGGGATTCTTGGTTATCTTGTACCAGTTTGACTAATTAAAGGATTATTAGAGTTCAGAGCTTAAAAGACGTACTGAACTTTGCACTTTGATGGACAGCTGATGCAAATTTTACATTTACTCTCTATTTACTGAGCCTCATGTGATGACAAACTTTTATGAGGCCTTTTCTAAATAAAAAAAAACTATATTTTGAAGAATGTTGGAAACTGGCAGTCACTGACATCAATAAGATAGTCAAAAGTTGCTGTGGTTTCCAGCATTACAGTATATACTAAAATATCTTCTATTAAATTTGTTAAATAGAAAATATTAAATATTAAATTATAAAGTTTGTTTTATATTCGTTGATTTTTGAACAGAGACAGCTTGTGACGGTGGCTAAATTCAAATTCCTTGAATGTTTGGTCTGAATTTACATGCAAGTATGACTTCAAAACAAAATTAGCATTATTTATTTGACTATGAACAATAGTGGGGCGGCACGGTGGCTCAGTGGTTAGCACTGTCGCCTCACAGTAAGAAAGGCAAGACAGTGCAAGTTTATTTGTATAGCACATTTCATATACAGTCACTATTCAAAGTGATTTACATAAACAGAAATAAAAGAGACAAGCATAAGAAAAATAAAAACAAAAATAAAAATGATTTTAAAAAAGGTTATAAAAGAATGAAAAAGAAGAGAACAACAATAGTACGATCTGTCGGACGGAGCACAGTGCTCATTCAGTAGGGGCACAGCTAAACAGATGTGTTTTCAGTCTTGATTTAAGTGTGCCTAATGGTGGAGCACATCTGATCATTTCTGGAAGCTGATTCCGGTATGGAAATAGGACCAGCAGCAATCGCAAAGGCCTACATAGGATTGTGCGAACTGCTGGATGCATAGTAGGAGGTGAGCTTTCCTCCCTCCATGGACATCTACACCAGGCGATGCATGAAGAAAGCAAAGAGAATCATCAGCGACTCCAGCCACCCAAGCCATGGACTTTTCTCTCTGCTACCCTCAGGCAGACGGTTCCGCAGCATCCAGTCACGCACTAGCCGGCTTAAGGAAAGTTTCTTCAGGCTGATGAACACTTAACACATCCCACAGAGGGGAAGTATGGGGAGTATGCTGTTGTATTTTGCACAGTTGTATTTGTACTGTCTGTATTTTGCACTTTCGTTGTATTTTGCACTATCTGTATTTTGTACTGTCTGGAGCCAGCACCTAAGCTTTTCACTCATCATAGCACACGTGGTGCTGATGATTTGACTATAAAAGTGATTTGATTTGATTTGATTTGATGTGATTTGATTTGATTCCAGAAGCGGGGGGCATAGTAGCTGAAAAAGCTGATTCACCCTGCTTTGTCTGAACTATTGAAATTTCTAGTTTATTTGAACCTTGAACATGTGTATATTTAATTATTTGATTTTTTTTTACTTTGTTTTACCAATTGAGTCTATGTAGTTATATAAACCTCTGTTATGCTCTGCATCTTTTTATGTACACCTCTACACTGCCAAACCCAAAAAGTTAATGTAACTCAAACTATTTGAGGAAACCGATTGCAACAAACTATTCTGTTTTACAGTCTAGAATTGTTCTGCATATATCGTTAACAATAAATGTATTTTTTTAAGTAAACAAAAAACAGTATTCTCCTTTTACACCTCCAAAACAGCAGACGGCGAGGTTTTCGACCAGCATTTGAATGTGACGCAGTGTCGTATAGAGTGTTCTGCGCATGCTCACAGCCGCTCACTCGCTTCTCACTCACAAGCAAGCATCATGGCGGACGTACTGGATCTTCATGAAGCGGGAGGCGAAGACTTTCCTATGGACGAGGATGGCGATGGTACAGTTTTTATGTACACTTACTTGTTGCATAGATCTTTATTTATGTGATTATATGTTTTATCAGAATATTACTAGTGGTGAATGTGTGCAATACTCGTGTTTTCTTCTGACGGCCTTGTCTTCTTAGCGCGCATGCTAATAGTTAGCTGATTCAAACCAGTCGCGCGTTGTAGTGATTCAGCTTTGTTTTTGTTTTCTGGCCTTAGAATAATGTATTTGACGGCCAATCTTCGTTTTAAGACTACTAATAATACAGATTTAGATTCAAAACTTATGGAAAATTAGTACTATGTTGTAGTCGCGTTTAAAGAATGTTCTCTTCACTTTTTATTCAGTCATTTATCATTTCTGTAAAAGTTTTCTTTTTTAAAATGTAACGTTACATACAGTGTGTTTGTTAACAGGTTAGCATGACCCTTATGAATGATTGTTTTTCTTTGTCTTTCAGAGAGCATTCATAAGTTAAAAGAGAAAGCCAAGAAGAGGAAAGGTCGTGGATTTGGATCTGGTAAGTTTTGTGTGTGTGTGTGTGTGTGTGTGTGTGTGTGTGTGTGTGTGTGTGTGTGTGTGTGTGTGTGTGTGTGTGTGTGTGTGTGTGTGTGTGTGTGTGTGTGTGTGTGTGTGTGTGTGTGTGTGTGCGTGCGTGTGTGCGTGCGTGTGTGTGTGTGTGTGTGCGTGCGCGCGCGTTTAAATGATCGTCTTAATGCATCATGTGCTTATGTTTGCTGCTTTATTTCTCAGAGGAAGGAGCCAGATCTAGAGTCAGAGAGGACTATGACACAGTAGAACAGGATGGAGATGAGCCTGGACCACAGAGATGTAAGTGTAACTCTAATTTCATTTCAGAGGTTGCATATTTTATTATTATTATTATTAAATTGAGAATATACAATCAGAGTAAATTATAAAGAGAATCGAGAAGAAAAAAATACAAAAAAAAAAGCCTTTGACTAGTTTCAAGTAATACTGCACTAAGCAAAATATTTTTAAAAAGGTATTGGTTTTGAAAATTTACATTTATATAAATAAAATTTTCATAATAAGATAAAAAGATTAAGATTTTTTTTTCCATGTAAAGTTTCTTTTTTTTATAATTAGCCAAACCAAACATTTTCCCATAGTAAGGAATCTTACTAAGAGAGTATTCACTGGATATGTACAATGAATAATTCTAGATGAAACTTCCTTTATCTTATTTTTCAAGTAGCTATTTAGAATGAGTCATATTTTTTCAAGTCAATGTCAGAAACAAAGGAATTCCAATAAAAAGTAACATTTTGAACTCATGGGCTGCATCCTCTGAAGGATGTATTCAAAGGGTGCTGCGTCTTACTAAAAAGTGATTTTATAGACCAGTGGTCACCAAACTTGTTTCTGGAGGGCCGGTGTCCTGTTGATTTTAGCTCCAACCCTAATCAAACACCTGAACAAGCTAATCAAGGTCTTACTTGGTATACTTGAATCATCCAGGCAGATGTGTTGAGGCAAGTTGGAGCTAAACCCTGCAGGGACACCGGCCCTCCAGGACTGAGATTGGTGACCCCTGTTATAGACAGTTTACATTTTTAAGTCTACATGTTTGGATTTAAGGAATTAGACTCCCAGCTTTTGTAAACCTTGCTTTGCCTTCAGATTGCTTAAAATATGTTTTTAAATCAATAAAAAAAAAGTCATTTCAAATTTTATTATAAATTCTAGGTGATGAGATCTGTCCTTTGTAGGCTAGATCATCTCAGTTCAGAATGCTCTGTTTGGCCTGTGAGGACTCACCTTTGAAGTCTGCATCCAAATGACACACAGCATATGTATAATCTACTTGGGCTTGTTATTAGTTAAAATGATGTCAAAATAAATACTTTATTGTCTTGCCTCATGCTTTATATTCAGGGTTCCCACTCTTCTTGAATTTCAGACATACAAATTCAAGGACTGGAAAATTCTTCAAAACTAACACTAATCCTTGGAAGTGCTTGAATTAAATTAGTCTATGGGGTCATTTCAGCAGTTGTGCTGCTGTCAAATATAGAATGAAAAAGCAATGAGAATTTGCTAAATATTTAAGAGATAAGCATTTCAGAATAGGGATACTCTTATTAATCGTTAACCGAAAGGGTGTGTTTTTAACTGATAAACAATATTGCATGTATTTAAAAAGTTTGGCTGCATAAGGAGTCAATCACAGCAAACACGCTTTTTGTGTTAAGAGCGGCATCTTTTGAATGGTTTTCTAATGGGCCTTGAGCGTTTTGCGGAGCCTTGCACGCCTCACATTTTAGCTGTTGTGTGCTGTGTACTCGCTGTTGAAAAAGGTCAACTCTGAGCAGAAAAGGCATGTTATGTCAGTTTCGTGTTTTTTTTTTTTTTTCCCAATCAAATAAAAGCAGAGTTTCAGTTGTCGAGTTCCGATGCATATTTTCTGTGGAGCGATCTATTTTAGGTAGCCTGCTATTTTTATTTAACGGAAGAAAAAACGTGATTGGACAAACAACATCTGCCGGTTCTTAAAAAGGATTCAGTCAGTGTTTTCATTTTGTATTCTAAACTTGTCATTTAAGTGAAAGATATCTAGGGCAGGAATATTTTTTGATTCTTTTTATTTAGTTTATTCTGTTTTTCCTAGCCGTTGGAAATGCTGCAGGTGCTTGAAGATGTGCTGATGTTCTGTATGCTGTTGTTCACATGTTAAAATAAATTAGTATTTTAAAATGCTATATTTAATGTGTCGGACACAAAATAGACACATCATTTTTTTGATTACATAGTTTAATATTAATCTGACCAGTTAACCGTTACTATTCAGTTAACAAGCGGCGGATGGCAAAATTAACTGAAATGAACATCCATATTTCAGAAAACACAGTTACATATCAACAGCTGTTTTTAATTTAACAAGTACTTTTTTTTTTTAAATGACACAATTAAAACTTTGTCATCACACTGTTATTTTAATGTAAGCATTAAGTGTAAGTGAATTAGTACAGTAAGGACTTTTGTGGTGCTACATATGCTGGCAGTGTAAATTACAAATGTGCTTGATTTTAAAATAATAGTACTTTAAAGTGTCTTTGAATCTACTGTTTATAAATGAATGTTATCCCTTCACATTACATTGAATATACTTTGGGTTTACAAATAATCCTGGGTTCTCATACGCCTTGCTTTACATTTCACACTGTAGCATTCTGAACCCTGCGTTGGCATTTTTATTTGCAGTATGATTGTCATTGATTGGAAGTATACAACATGACATGGCTTCAACAAGAAGGATCTAGTATTGCATATGCTCATACTATATATGAGCATACATACAACATGTCATTAGTCGGCCATGTTGGAGAGCAGAATGTAAACAATGCCACAGAACCAGATGAGACCTGCATATTTTTCATACTGTATTAATTAGTCGGGCATGGGAAAAAATAACTTTAGTAAGTAGTTTACTATAGACTGCCAAAACATTAGTAATGGTTCCATCAATATGTTGTGCACATTTTAGATAAGGTCTTTATAACTTTCAGTTGATGTGCTGTAAGAGAGACCCACTGTGGATTTGATCTGCATTGTTGCGCTTTTGTACAAAAACAATTATTTTTGTTTTCAGCCCTTAGCTTAAAAAAAATATTCTGTCAGATTCTGTCTTGCCTTAGTGATAGAAGAAAATTTGTTAGTTTACTGGAAAAGATATTGTAAAGCATTTGAACAATTGTAACTTGTTTTGATGTGATTTCAGCTGTTGAAGGATGGATTCTGTTTGTGACCGGTGTTCACGAGGAGGCAACAGAGGAGGATGTCCACGACAAGTTTGCAGAGTTTGGAGAAATCAAGAACTTGCATTTAAATTTGGACAGGAGAACCGGTTACCTTAAGGTAAGATTTTCTTTTTTACTTTTTTGGTTCAGTAGCATATACACTCACAGTCCACTTTATTAGGTACACCTTACTAGTACTGGGTTGGACCACATTTTGCCTTCTGAACTGCCTTAATCCTTCATATCATAGATTCAACAAGGTACTTTATATATAAATATTCCTTAGATTTTGCTCCATATTTACATGACAGCCTCACACAGTTGCTGCAGATATGTCGGCTGCACATACACGATGCAAATCTCCCGTTCTACCACATCCCAAAGTTGCTCTATTGGATTGAGGATCTGGTGACTGGGGAAGCCATTTAAGTACAATGAACTCATTGTCATGTTCAAGAAACCAGTCTGAGATGATTCACGCTTTATGACATAAAGTGTTATCCTGCTAGAAGTATCTCCCAGAAGATGAGTATACTGTGGTTATAAAAAGATGGACATGGTCAGCAACAATAGCCTGTGGCGTTGACACGATGCTCAATTGGTACTAATGGGCCCAAAGTATGCCAAGAAAATCTCCTGTACGCCATTACACCACCACCAGCCTTATTCGTTGATATAATGCAGGATGGATCCATGCTTTCATGTTGTTGACGCCAAATTCTGACCTACCTATCCGAATGTCACAGCAGAAATCGAGACTTGTCTGACCAGGCAACGTTTTTCCAATCTTTTATCGTCCAATTTTGGTGTGTCTTTGTGAATTGTAGCCTCAGTTTCCTGTTCTTAGCTGACAGTAGTGGCACCTAGTGTGGTCTTCTGCTGCTGTAGCCCATCTACCTCAAGGTTGGACATGTTGTGTGTTCAGAGATGCTCTTCTGCAGACCTCGGTTGTAAAGTGTGTTAGAGAATTGAACAGTATTTGAGTTACTGTTAGCTGGAACCAGTATGGCCATTCTCCTCTGGCACCAACAAGGCATTTGTGCCCACAGAACAGCCTCTCATTGGATATTTGATCTTTTTCAGACCATTCTCTGTAAAGCCTAGAGATGGTTGTGCGTGAAAATTCCAGTAGATCAGCAGTTTCTGAAAAATTCAGACCAGCCCGTCTGACACCAACAACCATGTTCAAAGTCACTTAAATCACCTTTCTTCCTCATTCTGATGCTCGGTTTGAACTCCAGCAGATCGTTTTGAACATGTCTAAATGCAGAGAGTTGCTGCCGTGTGATTGGCTAATTAGAAATATGTGTTAATGAGCAGTTAGACAGGTCTACCTAATAAAGTTAATAATAAAAGTGAATAAATAAATAAAATAATAAAGTCAGTGTATGTAATGATAGTCTGGGTAAAAAGTAGGGGTGTCACGATTTCGATTTTTAATCGAAATCGATCGAAATTTATGCTCAATTTCGATTATCGAATCAAAAAATAGAATCGTTGAGGCTGCCACGCCCCCATGTCACATCAGCTTGGCTTGCCAAGCGGGAAAAAACAGGCTTGTTGAAGTGCTTGTTAAACTGCAGAAGCAGCAGACCCGTCGACAGAACTTAAACCCTCTCCTCTTTCAATGAAGTCGCCGGTGTGTAAGCATTTAGGATTTCCAGTGAGTTATGTTGACAACGTTCGTGTTGTCAAAAAAAAACACAGTTTTGCAAGCTCTGCTATGTACGTATTGCGTACGTTTCGTCCGATAGACAACACCGGCATCGCGATCCTCCGCCCGCCCCCGTTGCAAATCCGCTTGCGAAAAGTACACACTCAGGCCCTGTTTACACTGTCTTTGTTTTTAAATGGCATTTTAGAATGACAACGATTTGACATCCACAGTGGCGTGTAGCATTTCTGAGCAGCCCTCCTTCCTCTCTACCTCTGACAATGCACATCAGGTGACCACACAGACACAGACGCATACACAGCCATGCGCTCGAGACAGCAGGTCCAGGCAGTCAGAGGACTGCTTCAATCTTTCACTCACTTGTACTTAGTCATTTTAGCGAACACCTCAGATACTGTTGGCTAGTTCCTGTTGGATGTGCGTCTTTTTTTACAGATGCCATTATAACGACACAATCACTGCCTATTCACGAGTCCCGCAGAAAAAGTGATTGACAGGTGGTAATTATGTGTGTATCTTGCCTTTATTCATTTACTGTATGATTTGTTTATCGGTAAAACAAAGACTATGCAGGTCAGGTAGTTTAAACGGTAGGCTACAAATAATTAATTGGTCATTAATTAATTAATTATTCATAAAAATTAGAAAATCGAATCGTGCCTTTAGAATCGAAAATGTAATCAAATCGAGGATTTGGAGGATCGTGACACCCTTAGTAAAAAGACTTGTATATGTGTTTGTGTATAAAAAATATATATTTGCTTTAGGAGGGAAAAAAGTTCTTTCATATGACCGGTGGAAACTTTTGCAGTAACTCTAAGTGGTTGTAGATTTCCCTTACTGGAAAAATAATTTTTCTTATGTAGAGGAATTGATGAATCAGAAATCGTGCATGTTCTCGATGTTGTCCAGCAGATGGTGGTGTTTTATACAGAACACACAGTTTGACTTGACTGTGTGTTTCATTTGATTATATTGCTGTTTCTTATGGAGCCTACTGAAATTTCTCATCGGATCATTAGTTGCAACGGCTTTGTTTGTCCAGAGATGTCCATTTTAGAATTTTGCTTTTATAATAAATTTTAAAGCTCATTCTGTCTGCATTGTTTACATGTCATATTAAGTATTGATTATTCAAAACTTTCATATCTAAGAAATCTAATCATGTTCCATTAAAAATATACTCTTGAACTGGTTAATTTGCATTATGATAATATCTTGGGCATACTGTATAAATTGGAGAGTTTAAATGTTGTACATTAGAAGTATTTTGTCTATGATATTATCCTAATTGTTGTCTTTAATAATAAGCAAGCTGATATTGCAGATTGTCACTACAACAAACTTATTTATTTTGTTTTCTTATGATGTTTCTCATCATTTGCTGTGACTCATAACTATTGAAGTTGTATTTCTAGGTTTTTTTCAAGCATAAAATGTTTAGTTTGGCTGTTTTAAGACTCATGAGACCGTTCTAAAACCAGGCAACCCTTTTCATACATAGTTTAAAACATTCACTTTATTTTCATGATTTTTGTATGTTGTTTATCTGTACATTTATTACAGTTGTGGTATTTTATTTGAAGCTGTCAGTGTTAAACATACATTCAATAAAGTTAACTTAATGAAACTTAATTTATTTTTATTTTTTTCCCCATAGGGCTATGCATTGGTGGAGTACGAGACCTACAAAGAAGCACAGGCTGCAATGGAGGGTCTGAATGGTCAAGAACTTATGGGACAACCAATCAGTGTTGACTGGTGCTTTGTAAGGGGACCCCCGAAGAGCAAGAGGAGGTGAGTCAGTTTCTTATCTTGTTAAACTGGATTTATATACTCAGGCCTTTTCACTCGCAAACTTCATTTGTACTGGAGATTTGTCTTCTATTGGATTTGGTAATGATACAGGCCGTAATACAACATGACTGATGGACTGTTGTGTTTTCCTCTAGGGGTGGAAGGAGGCGCAGCAGGAGTCCTGACAGACGGCGACGCTGATTTTACCCCTGTTTGCCTCCGGTGTCTGTTTCCCAGCCGCTGTGGGATCATTTTTCAACACAGTTTGGAGTCAGATTGAAGTGTATCTCTTTAAATAAAGGTTTTAGTGGGTTTTTTCCTCGTAATTGTTAGTTTTTCAGCATCTGCCTGGTGGCATTTTGTTAATGAAGTTGCTGACACGTACATGTTAAACCTGTTGGTATTTTCAACACCATTTTATTTACTTTTTTTTTGTACAAAGTGGAAGTTCACTTTAAAATGTATGTGGATTGACATGTATTCACTCATTGAAACTCGTTGTTGTGAGTAGTGATCTGTATATTTCCAATAAATTAATTTGGATTAAAATCTGTTGCTGTCCTGCTTTTCATTTTAGCACCTTTTTAAAATAGGTTATACTTACAGTTTACTCAAATATATGCAGTAATTAACTAGTATAAGAATGAATAGCTTGAATCGACAAACTGTATGTGTAAAATGAAGTTTCTTCTGAGGTGTTTTCTACTTTGGTCCAATTTTTAGCAGGAAATTAAAAATATATTTTTTTCTTGAGTTCAAAATGTTGTCTATCATCATATGCTCTTTGCCTTTTCTGAACTAAATATTAAATAATCTTATCGTTCCAAAGTATGATTTAACAGATTAGGAATTTTTATATAATTATTAATGTTGGTAGCTGATTATGTGTTCATTACTTAAAATTGAGTGTTGTATTGTTTAAAAATTGATGAAATTATTTATTACTAGAACTTTTATTCAGTAAACAATGCCACATCTCTGTTAGGAAATTTTTAGACCACTTGTTTTCCACAGAAATGATTGCTTATCTCATAGCAAAAATAACCCATGAGGTCATGCTGGGGGAGCATGTGGAATTAACCAGACAATATAATGATGACGTTTTTCCAGCATCAGCAAATCACATCGTGACTAAGCCGGTCCCCTTAAATAAAATTGGTGCTTATTGCTTTGTCACTGTCACTCGGGTCCGATTTTCTTTCATAGGCTCCTCTAACCGATGCCCATCATGTGCAATGTGGCTAACCAACCAGCGTGGAATACTGAGATCCCACTCTCTCCTCACATTTGCCATTTACAGCCTGAAGGCGGAGCTAATGAGGAAACTCCAACTGTCATTGGCTCACGTCTATGCCTGTCAACCTCAACTCGCTCGATGATTGGCCGACACGGCTAGTTGAGTTTCCTTAGATGGGCGGATTTGTATCGCCTTGACGTTGTTGTTGTGGGAGTAAGAATGTACTTAGTCGTCAAGTCTTTATAAGACAAAAAGCAAGACGTTTCTTTGATATTTACATAACACAACAATAGCACACAACCCAAGAGGAAGTATTTTCTGCGAGCGAACAGCCAAGAGTGGGAGGAAATGAGAGAGAAATTCCGCGAGGCCGCTCGAGGTAAGCGCGCAACTGCATTAGCTTTAGCTCCGCGAGCCCGAAAAACCCTCACGAGCGTTTTGTAACGGAACCGGGTCGATTTTCTCCAGCCCCTGAGTGTCTGTGATGAAAGCAAAGTGTCTGTTATTTCCTCTACATCAATAGTTTGGCTCCGGTTTATACGTTATGTTTTGAAAAACTGTGTGAAAGTAGAGCGTTAATAAAGGAAAGTTGGCCGTTAGGTCATGTTTTAGGCTGGACACTCCGAGGGGACCACGACTGACCCTTCTTTAACTGATGAAACTAGATAAACTAGCTGTGTACAGACCATAAAAGTTTGTTACAAGTCTCATCAGTCGCTCTAAATTGTGCACGAGAACATTTGGTAACAGTAATTGAGCTAACGCAGTATTTGTACCTCAGCAACTTTGGGAGACACTCATACTGTCTGCTAGCCGAGCTGCTAACTAACTGGTCAAGCAATGACAGTTTTCGAGATGGACGAAGTGTGCAGTTTTAAATGTTGAGAGAATAAGAACTTAATTGTGTTTAAATGGCTATCAAATGCTAGCATGTCTCTCCTTTCTTCCACTTGACCCTTCATGCCTCACTGGTATTTTGTTGTCATGTCTGTGTGTTCTGTATTGTACGCGGACCAGTCAATCATATTTGATTAGCATCTGTTTTATAGTTTGTAACGTTATATTGAATACAGCGTGTGTTCCATACGTTTCCACTGTGTGTAAGTGACTGAGGTAAAGTTGGTTTTATATTCACACATTAGCTCATTTAACTGTCTCTGTATTGTTTACCACGCTAATTTGAATATTCATGCAGAATTAGCATGGAAGTATAATTTCAAATCAACATTATCACTTTCTAATTGACCAAACAATGTTTTACTTTGATGGTCATCAGCTGCTAATATGATTTCAGTATTTAGAATTTACAAAGAATACATTTTTGAAATGATATTCTTAAGGAGAATGTCTGAATATCCGAATATAAATCCAACTTTTGCTGTATTTGTAAGTGTATTATTTATCTGCCTGTCATCATTGAGCTAAATATCATACACTTCCAAAATGTATTGATTAGGAAAAAGCATCTATCTCTCTGTACCGTAATTGAATATGTTGGGCAGTTTTAGCTGGACGAATGAAAATATATGTTTATACACTGTAATATTTACTAATTAAACAATTTGATCTATGATATTACTATTATTTGAAGATCAAGAACATTTTGAGGAATGTAAACAGTAACTGACCTAATACCTGTATTACATTTTTAACTTCCAAAGCTTCCAAGAATCCAAAAATATCCACATATTGATAATGCTGTGATAGCTGCTTTAATATTAAGGTTTGATTAAATTGCCTCTTGTTACAGTTATAGAATAGTTTAATAATATGATAGTAGTAATAATATGATTTTAAGATTAATGGTAGTAATAATATGATTTCAGTATGTAGAATTTGCTAATTTGCTAAGCTTTTCTGAAATTATATTAAGGAGAATGCCTGAATATCTGAATATAAATCCAACTTTGCCTCTATGTGTAAGTGTATTGTTTATCTGCCTGTTATTGTTGAGGTTAATATCATACACTTTCAACATATATTACAAATATATTTATTAGGAAGAATAATCTGTCTCTTTGTACTATAATTAGATTTGTTGTGTAGTTTTAGCTCGATGAATGAATATATTCTATGTTGAAGGTGTACTTGCACAGTAATATTTATTAATTAAACAGATTTGCTTTATGATATTACTATTATTTGATTATATAGACCATTTTCAGGGATGTAAACGATAACAATGGTCCTAGACTATTTCCTGTATTACATTTTTAATTTCCAAAGCTTCCAAAAATAAAACAAAAAAATCCACAAATTGATGATGTTATGATAGCTCTTTTAATATTAAGATTTGATTAAATTGCCTCTTGTTACAGTTACGGAATAGTTTAATAATATGATACTAGTAATAATATGATTTTAAGATTAATGGTAGTAATAATATGATTTCAGTATTTAGAATTTGCTAAGAATGCTTTTCTGAAATTATATTAAAGAGAATGTCTGAATATCTGAATATAAATCCAACTTTTCCTCTATGTGTAAGTGTATTGTTTATGCCTGCTATTATTAAGCTGAATATCATACAATTCCAAAATATAAAACATATATATTCATTAGGAAGAAGAAGAATCTATCTCTCTGTATCATAATTAGATTTGTTGTGCAGTTTTAGCTGGACAAATGATAATATATTATGTTGAAGGTGTTTATACACAGTAATATTTACTAATTACCATATTTGCTCTATGATATTACTATTGTTTAAAGATATAGACCATTTTGAGGGATGTAAACAATAACAGTGGTCCTAACCTATTTGCTCTATTACATTTTTAACTTCCAAATCTTCTAAGAATCCAAAAATATCCTCATATTGATAAATAATGTTATAATAGCTCTTTTAATATAAAAATATGATTAATGTGCCTCTTGTTACAGTTACAAAATAGTTAAACAACAAGAAGGAAATGTTCATAGGCCAGTGACAATGCCACATTAAAAAGTTCTATACAAGTGTATTAAGATAAATTATTTGTAAACAAATATAAAGGAACAGCACTGTTAAGAAATTTGCATCATCAGCCATCTAGCAACTTTAGTTTTAATTGACATAGAAGGGGTTGGGTTGTTACATCACATGTCGTGCAGTTGACTGATAAAATATTCAAATAAGCATGCCTTTCTTTGTTAGAGTGTTTAAACCAACAGTTGATGAACCACAGGGCCTGGGCATCAAATGAGAGTAAAGAAAAAAACACAAAAGTCACAATTATATACATTAATGGGTGTCATTTTGTAAAATGTAAAATCGATTAACTTAATTGTTTTTTACAAACTTAAGTGTATTGAACATAAAAGTTGTTCCCCAAAAAAACTTGAGATTTGTGAAACAAATAGTTTGGACTAGCAGTAAAATTGACTTTTTTAACTGTAGTTTACATAAATGAAATTTAGTGCATGTTTTAAGGTAGTATTTGATAGCGATAAGCGATCAAAATAGCATTATGTATTGTTTCAATTATGGACATATTTTTAATGGACAGAATATGAAGGGCGAGACTTTGTTTATTATCCAAAGTAACTATACATGTCTTTTTCTACCAATTATTGGACAGGAGGGGCACAGTATTATGCTTAGTAGTCACACCTAAACTCATAAATCAGACAAAATTATTGTCTATGTAATTTAAGAATTATTAGGGGTTCAAGCGCGAAGAGCTGAAATTCTGTTGTTTTTGTTAAGATTATTATTATTTATTTATTTTTTTTTTGGCAGAGTTTTATCGTCAGACCAAACCGTAAGGCCTAGAGAACTGAAATTTGTTCAGATGGTAGTGCTCCGGCACACTACATCCTCACCAAAAATCAGCTAAACAGCCCATAAGTGGTGCTATAGAGCCCATAACGCTAATATTAGTGCTAATAACTCCTAGTTGTAGACTCTAAAACAATACATATTAGAAATCCTTGGCTCAAAGTAATGGCTGGCTTACACTGAGATTTTTTATGATCTTAAATGATTGTAGCATGTTGGACTGGAAGAAACATGGCTCCCATGTCACACTGTAAGACAGGGGTCACCAATCTTGTTCCTGGAGGGCCAGTGTCCTGCAGATTTTAGCTCCAACCCTAATCAAACACACCTGAACAAGCTAATCAAGGTCTTAATAAATATACTTGAAACCTCCAGGCAGGTGTGTTGAGGCAAGTTGGAGTTAAACCCTGCAGGCACACCGGCCCTCCAGGACCGAGATTGGTGACCCCTGCTGTAAGATCTCAGCGGTCATAAAGTCAGACTGAACGACAATGAAGACGTGCAAACACAAAAGAAAACGCACCCGGAGTTTGACGTCATCCACCT